GGACTACAGAGTGAGTTCCAGGACAGCCAGAGCTATATAGAGAAACTCTGTTTCAAAAAACCAACGAACCAAACCAAACCAAACCAAACAAACCAGAAATCAAGTCTTGGAACCTTTACCAAGGTTGTTTGTTTAATAAACATAGAACTTCTTAATACTAATCACAATATTTGTTTGTTTCATGTGCTGGGGTGGGGGTTATGGGGGGCTCCACCCTCTCACAGGACAAGGGACTACGTGAGGAGGGGACTGGGAGAGGGGGTCAGCAATCAGGCTATAAAATAAATAAATAAATGAATAGAAAAATGCAAAAAAGAAAAGAAAGAAAAAGAAAAGTGAAGGAATTGGGATAAGAAGTACAGACATCCTTTCTCTTCCCCTGGTGTGTGTGTGTGTGTGCCTCTATGTGTGCACGCCTATGTGCATATCTGTGTGTTTCTGTGTGTGTGCCTGTGTGTCTATGTGTGTGTGTCTGTGTATATATTTGTGTGTGTGTGCCTGTGTGTCTACATGTGTGTCTATGTGTGTCTGTTTGTGTGTGCCTGTGTGTCTATGTGTGTATGTCTGTGTATCTCTGTGTCTCTGTGTGTTTGTGTGTCTGTGTCTATGTGTGTCTGTGTAAATGTCTGCGTGTGTGTCTGTGTGTGTATGTCTGGGTATGTGTGTCTGTGTGTCTGTGTGTGCCTATGTACTTGTGTGTCTGTGTATGTCTGTGTGTCTGTGTATGTGTGTCTGTGTGTGCCTATGTGCTTGTGTGTCTGTGTGTGCCTATGTGCTTGTGTGTCTGTGTGTATGTCTGTATGTCTGTGTGTGCCTATGTGCATGTGTGTGTGTATCTGTGTGTCTTTGTGTATATGTGTGTATATGTGTGTGTATATCTATGTGTGTGTCTGTGTGTGCCTGTATAAGTCTGTGTGTATGTGTCTGTGTATCTGTGTCTGCATGTGTCTCTCTGTGTGTACCTGTGTCATGTGTGTGCCTGTATGTCTTTGTGTCTATGTGTGTGCATGTGTGTGTTCATGTAAATAGCATTTTAGGATGAGGGACTCCAACTTTTCCAGGATGAGTGTCTGGAGGCAATGCAAACATTTCCTTTCAGTCCAAATCAAGATGAAGGGCCTTGATTTCTTCTCCTTTTACAATTACATAGGAAGGGTATCTAAGGGGGAATATATAGATAAAAATATGTAGAATCTATTTTAAAAATATGAGTAAATAGGTTTCTCTTAGGGTTAAGGTATGTTGTGATTGTCAGAAAGAGCTTCAAAAGAGCTGGGAAAGGCAACCTATACTGTATTGCTGAGTGGAGAAGGAGATCTAGCCCCTCACAGAAACTGTAGTGGTTAAGTACCTCAACTGGGGACTGAGAAAAGAGATTATCAAGGCAGAAAAACTAAGAGTTGAAATCCCTTCCCACCTCATGACACAGATGCTACAGTTTGACTACAGATGACAATGGGCAGAAGGAGGGCAGGCACTGACAGAGGGAAAGGAATGCAGCTTGTGCAGTTTCCGGCCGAGCCCAGCACTGGCACCCTTCTGAATGCTATGGGTACTGCAGTGCAAGGGGGCAGTGTGCAGCACTTCTTCTGCAACCTTTAGCAAGCGCCAAGGGCCTGACTTCCCTATTGTAGTCCTTGGATGAACAAACTTGGCATGCAAGGAAGCAAGCCCTGCTGATTCAGGAGGAAAGAGCTGTGGAAAACCTTAAAGGGACTCCTGTGGGTTTCGTCTGCTCTCAGGAGAGGCAAGGACTGGATCTTGGGGGTGAATTCTGAGCCTGCCTTGAGGAAACAATGCTACATATAGTTGGTTTGACCTCCTCTGTTTACTCAGACAGTATTCAAATTGTAATATATAATTTCATAGGACATTAATTTTTTTCTCTTACCCAAGGGAAGGTGACATTCACGGAGACAGAATTGGGAACAACCTAATCTATATGTTCCTATTCCTTAACAAGAAAGATGATAAAGACAGTAAAGCAGTAGAGGGAGAGGCCAGCACTCTAAATATTATGTCCATAAAGGAAATCCCCATATTCTATAGCTTTGAGGATGCTTACCAAATTTTATAAATTCAAATCTTTTAAAAATGATGTTTGAGCTGGGCATGGTGGCACACATGCTTTAATCCCAGCATTTGGGAGGCAAAGGCAGGTGAATCTCTGAGTTCGAGGCCAGCCTGGTCTACAGAGTGAGTTCCAGGACAGCCAGGGTTACACAGAGAAACCTTGTCTTGAAAAAAACAAAAACAAAAAGAGGTTTTAAAGCATCAATAGAATGAAATCTATTTTTCAATTATTATACAGCAAAACCAAAAATTAAAAATGAAAATGGCAAAAATAAAACTGAAAATGGCTAAAAAGGAGAAAATCTATTGAAAACTATCATAACAATTTTATAATCAAGAAAATTATGTATAAAAATTAGACTGTGATCAAAGCCATACATAAGAGAAAATCCATAAACTCAAGTGTTTTTATTATCACACTAAAAAGATATAAAGTATAATATGTCTGATATTTATTAATGCTGATACTGTGTAGGACCTGAACAAAATATATTTCATTTAATCTTTCTGATACTTATGAGGTGAGCCCTGCATATTACCCTTTAAGATAGGAGGAGGTAAGTCCTGTACATAGCCCAATTAGGCATGTGTGTGCGATGTACTAACAATGTAACCTGCATCCAAGAATGACTTCACATGCTTTTTGATTTAATGCCATGAGGTTACTAATGGTTATTATTCTATACAGGGCACATTAAGTAACAAAGGGGTGAATATAAGATGCCTTCTACCCTGTATAAATGTCTCATGACATAGATGAGGGGATGCAGGTCATGTTATGATGACCAGTAAGGAGGCTGACGCTGACTGTGTGAGATGGTAGAGGAACGCCTTCCCACAGCACTAGGGTCGCAGTCTGAAAAGTGAGTCCAACTTGGGGTGGCCATATAGATGTCTATTGGGGTGCTTGTTGCCATGCTTAGGGAAGTAGCTCTAAGTTGTTCAAATAATTATTTAATGCAAGAGAATCAGAAAAAGCATATATACATTTCCACTTTATTAAAATTGTGTATAAATACAGAGCAGTTGGGCACATCCATTCTAAGGCACTGTTCTGGTTTGAATGCAATTCCACAAGAGAGAAAGAGAAGCCGTTACATTCTGTCTTTTTAACCTCTACATTCTGACTCCTCCCATGTTACTGGGGTCTAATTTTAATCCCAGAATTATTAGCAGCATCATACAGGGACCTGGATGCCAAGGAAAAAAGACACATCCTGGCTCTGGCACTTTATATGATTTGGCACTTAGTCATAAGCTCTCTCTTGTACTGTTTTCCATTTGTTACCCAACTCTTGTTTAACTAGAGATACTATAAACTCTTTATGAGCCTTACATATGAATTATGTTTTTTACTAACTTCCATTAAGACTAGGACAGGCCAAGTTAGGCACATATACATACCCGCCAAGTACTTATACATCACTTCCAAGAACTTTCTTAGTTCTACTTTAAAGATGACTGTGTTTCTTCATAAAGGGAATATATACTTGAATGTCCCATTTCTTGTATCTAATAACAAGGACTAAGCTCAATGAGGATTTTCACATATCAACAGCTTTAATTGATGAGATTTTCTCCCTTACTATGAGACTTGAGTTGTTACTATGATTACATCAAAACACTTATATAAGTACCAACTCTGTGTGTGTGTGTGATTACAAGTAAAATTCAAAAAGGTTAAGAACCACTACATAATTCATAAATTATGTGAATTAGTGATCTTCACCTCCTTAAAATGGTGTGTGTGTGTGTGTGTATCTAAGTATAATTAAAACTCAGAGGCTACAAATCACTAACCCACAAATTATATCAATTAGTGACTTTAAACTCCTTGAAATGATGTGTGTATAATACAAAATATGTATATCTTCAAATACTTTTTCATAAAATCCTTGAAACTAGACATAACTAGGTTTTGAGTGACAGGACTACACTGATAGCTATAGACATACTAGTTTAAGGCAGTGTGTCCCAAGGGATACTTGCAGAATACTACTGCAAGTTATTACTATGTGTACATGAAAAATGTTCTGGGCTCAAATAAGTCTGGAAAGTGTTGAGCTCCAAGAAGTGCCTCCTTTCTAGACAAGGACCTTTCCAGGAGCCTTATTTGCTGATAAGCATCATGAGTCTAGGAAGGACAAACAGCTAAAAGCAATTCCCAAAATTATTTGCAGAACATCTTACAGAACAAAGTATTCTGTGACACATACTTAGAAAAACACTGACGTAGAGAAAGGATACAATTTCAAAAAGCACTGAAATAAACAGGAGCGAACCCCGAAGCAGGATGAAAATCCATGCAGACTTGTTCTTCAGTCCATCTAAATCCAGTTAGATTCTACTTGTACAACATCAACTGCAAGTTACCTCTGCTAGCCCTAGCACACAGTTATAAAGAGAACACTCCATTCTAGTGAGCCACTCTAACCCCCATCACCACAGACAGCCAACTAAGCAGACCAGTAAACTCCACAAAATTCCAAACTTAGGATCCCAACTTCTCTAAGCATAAGACTGTAAATGGAAACAAGCCTGTTCGTTAGGCCAATGACATCCTCTTCACCATAATCCCCCTGAAACAATTTTTTTTATTTTCAAGTGTTGACAAAATTCACTGCCTCATTTCTTGCTACTTGTGGCACATCTATCTCCTAGCTGCTTTCATAATTACACAGGAAAGCATTGTGGTAGGATTGTAACTGACAACAGTACTCATCATTAATTGGTCCTACCTATAAGCAACTGCTACCGTTTATATGCTTTGTGCTTATGCTTATCATGGTTGACTTGGAACCAAATATTTCCACTGCAATTAAACAACAGAAAAAGACAGAAGATATTAAATTCAGAGAAACTGCGAGAATGCGTGGACATTCTAGAACTCATATACCTTGAAAGATTTTTTTTTAAAAATAGCACCCCTCAAAGCTTCACTTACATACTCAGACAAAAGGCTTCTAAGACAAACAGCTACTGCAGCCTACACTGTTTCTGAACTAGTGTTAACTTTGCTAGAATCTGTTTCCCTTAAAGGTTCTTAAAGAAGTCCTCTGAAGTGTGTGACCTGGTGCATAATAAGGCCTGCTCTCTGCCTGAAGCTTTTAGAACAATGAGTACACTTGTATGGCTTTTCCCCTGTATGGATTCTTAAATGAATTACAAGGCTTGGTCTCTGTCTAAAGCTTTTCCCACAATAACTACATTTAAAAGGTCTCTCTTCCGTGTGTGTTCTCTGGTGCAAAGTAAGTGCCGTCAGGCGACTAAAACTTTTCCCACAATTGTGACATCTATGAGGCTTTTCACCTGTATGAGTTTTTAGATGTCTTTTAAGACTCGATCCATGACAAAAGGTTTTGCCACATTCAAGACATTTGTATGTTTCTTCTTCAGAATGGGTTCTCTGGTGCCCGAGAAGGTGAGAGCGCCGAGTGAACCGCTTTTTACATACCGTGCATTCATAGGGTCTTTCTCCCGTGTGTAGTCGTTGGTGTCTGTAAAGGTCAGAGCTACGCAGGAACCTTTTTCCACATTCAGGGCATTTGTGAGGTTCCTCTCCTGAATGAATTCGCTGGTGCCCGGTAAGTTGTGACTTCCGAGCGAAACATTTGCCACACTGGGGACATCGGTGAGGTTTGTCCCCAGGACTCTTTTTCTTTGGAGGCTTTGGGTTGAGAGGTTCTTCCAGGTTGGGGCTCTCAGGTCTCTCTCCTAGAGTGGGGTTCTGAGGATCTCCGAGTTTTGTTAAATCTGTCTGTATATCCTCGGGGGATGTTTCCCAGTGATTTTCTAACTGCACGTAGTCTTTCTGCAAAATGGGTCCATGGAGAGCATTCCCTTCTAAAGTTACAACAAATGGGTACAAATTTTCCAGTTTTTTCTGTTTTGAAGTATCTTCTTCATTTTCTATTCCCATCTCAAAACCTGAGAAGAAATGGAGACTGAAGATGTCATTGTGTTGGGGGTGGGAAGTGAAGGAGATTGGTAGTGAGTGTAGAAACTCCTGAACACAGTGCTGAGCTCTGCTCCTGGTTACTGTTGATGCTTCCCCACCTTCCCAAGAATATACATGAATCATTACTTACCAATCTTGGGATCAAGTAATTGTTTCATTTCTTTGGGATCCTCTAAGTCTTTTACCCAGGGCTCTTCTCTATGATCCAATGGGAAGTTCATGTCAAGCTTTGGTAACTGATAACCTGGTCATAGAAGCAAAAGGGAAGAAGCATGACACTGTGGTTCACCATGGGGTTTTCTAGAATATAGGCTAATTGCATGGATACATGCCTCCTTCCTCCTTGTTATCGTTCCTTCATCTGGAGTCACTTATAAGAGTCTTTCTTAAAGATAAGAACAAAACAATGGAGAAGGTTATCCTTCTGCACTTTCTGGTGAGTGAGTCAATGTGTGCTGGAGCAATGCACTCAGTTAGTTCTGTATTTGTTGTGACAAAACATTTATTTATGCTAGAGCTAAAACATGGAGCAAAGCTTTATAAAATGTTGGTATACTAGAAACTGGGAAATAGTGCTATTCACTTCTTAAAGAAGACCAGGCTAAACATATGTATCAAAGAAGAGTCATGTAAACATATGTCAAGAAGAGTGGTGTAAACATACATATCCTAGAAGAGTGGTATAAACATACATGTCAAAGAAGAGTAGTGTAAACATACATGTCAAAGAAGAGTAGTGTAAACATACATGTCAAAGAAGAGTAGTGTAAACACATGTAAAAGAAGAGTAGTGTAAATATAGGTGTTAGAAAATTGTTTACTGGAATAAGTTCTCTTGACCCTTCTTAGAAACATTTCCATTTTATTGAACTTAATTGGAAGCAGCAAAAAGCAGTGTTTATGTATCAGCAGAAGTCCAGATAGGGAATTTACAAAAATAATCCAAATTAACTGCCAGGTGTGTTTCTGTCTGACACCCTAAGTACAACCACGTCATTTGTATGACTTGCTTTCCTATTTTTTCTGCCCCTTCCTCTCCATCCTCATTGTTGGTCACATATACTACTGTAGAGTAAGATATGGTCTAGAAATGGTCAACCCGAGATAACAAATGGGCTGCTGATTAGATATTAGAATTATTAAAATGGCACACACAAGCAAATACTAATTCAAAGAAAAAATTGTATTTCAGACTAAGACATAAGAAATAGAAAATCCTTGTTTAACAAAAGATCATGTATTTCAATTTTAAGACTATGAAATGAAAGACAGAACTCAAATGGATTTCTGTGCTGGATGTGATGGTGCACGCTGTAATTCTACACTGAGATATGGCAGTTGCAAATTCCACCCCAACCTTGGTTACAGAGTGAGACCCTGTCTCAAAAAGAAGAAAACTACACTTCCCAATTCACCAGTTGATCTTTGTTTGGATTTCACAGTTGAGATGAGGGTAATATGGAATAGAGCGAATAAAACTGAGGGTCACAGCTCAAAAGAAAGCTGCTGGAAGGAAACTACAAGTTGGACGAGATTAACAGCCTAAGCTATACAAGACTGACTCAGAGACCACTCCAAGATGGCGGATTGTAGCCACCCAACAACTGCTGAGTTTTCCTGGGGATAGGATTGACACAGCAAGAGAGGAACTAACTACCCTTTGACATAGCTGGTGGCAGGATGTCACTGATGTTAGTTGTGAAAAGACAGAGATGCAAGAAAATGTAGATCATTCTGGAGAGTAGAACAGAGGACCAGAAAGAACACCCCTGTATATGGTAATGGCATAGCAGAGTGAGGATTGAAGCAAAGAAAAGGAGAAACTCAGAAAACACAGCCTTCAGCAGTATGCAAAAGCACAGCTGAAAAGGACAGCTGCTAGGGGTGGAGAATGGGGATAATCTCTAGGAAATGTCACAGCCCTGGGATGGGGGACGCTCCTTGGAGTCTATGGAGGAGACCTCAGCTGAGAAGCATAGCAGTGGGGAATATGGAACCTTAAGAGGTTACCTCTGTAGCAGCAAGACCCCCTAGTGTAGGAATGAGGACACCAATCCACCCACAAAACCTTCTACCCCAAATCTGACCTAGCTACAAGAAATGCAGGGACAAAGATAGAGCAGAGACTGAGGGAATGGCCAACCAATACCTAGTCCAACTTAAGACCCATCCCATGGGCAAGCACTAATCCCTGACACTATAATGATACTCTGTTAGGTTTGCACACAGGAGCCTAGTACAACTGTCCTCTGAGAGGCTCCACCCAGCAGCTGACTGAATCAGATCCAGACACCCATAGCCAAACATTGGATGGAGCTCGGGGAGTCTTGTGGAAGAGTTGGGGAAAGAATTGAGGGCCCAGCCGGGCGATGGTGGCGCACGCCTTTAATCCCAGCACTCGGGAGGCAGAGGCAGGCGGATTTCTGAGTTCCAGGCCAGCCTGGTCTACAGAGTGAGTTCCAGGACAGCCCGGGCTATACAGAGAAACCCTGTCTCGAAAAACCAAAAAAAAAAAAAAAAAAAAAAGAATTGAGGGCCCTGGAGGGGATAAGAACACTACAGGAAAACCAACAGTCAACTAACCTGGACCCTTGGGGCTCACAGTCTTACCCATCAATCAAAGAGCATATACACGGGCTCAACTGATGCCCCTGTAAATATGTAGCAGATGTGCAGCTAAGTCTCTATGTGGGTCCCCCAACAACTAGAGCAGAGGCTGACCCTGCTCTTGCCTATCTGTGGTATCTGCTCACCAACAGGGCTGCTCTGTCTGTCTTCAGTGGGAGAAGATGTGCCTAACCCTGCAGAGACTTAATGTGTGATTGGGGGAGGGGTTACCCAGGGTGCCCTGCCCTCTCAGAGAAGAAGGGGAAGGGGATGGAGGAGGGACTCTGTGGGGAGGGACCTGGAGGGAAAGGCAGCAATTGGGATGTAAAATTTTTTTAAAAATTAATTAATTAAAAAATAGTATAGCCTAGATGTGGAATGTGACATCTGCATAGCACACTGGTACTGGAAAAAGTTCTATTTCCCACTGTATGATTATGGTGTGGTATTGGAAAGCCATCTTAAGGTCTTATCTGAACTGCTTCAGCATTCAAAGACATCTACATTATTGTTTTTGTATCCAGAAACCCACGAACCAATCTAGAAAGTGTTAGACTAAACACAAATCATCTACTGGAAAAGACTTACCCCAAACCAATGAAAGCTCTATGCTGTGTCCTTTCTCATTACTCTTAAAATATAGCACTTGAAATCTTAGACAGAACAACAAGGCAAGAGAAAGAAATAAAAGTGAAACAAACAGAAAAGGATGAAGCCAAAGTACCCTATTTCCAGATATGTTCTTATAGTTAAGACCCAAAGATAGAAGAATCTAAGATCTGATACAATCTCAACAAAGCGGCAGGATTCAAAATCAACAAAGACGACAAACAAGAACAAGCGGCTTTTTTACAAAGTAAAACAGTACTGAACTTGAAAAAGAAATTAGAAAACCATGCCATCTACTGTATCATCAAAAACTAGTAGGAATACAGTTGGAGAGAAGACGGTGACATCTGGCAGCATGCAGATGCTTGTAACTCTAGGTCTGGGGAATACGATGCCTCCTTCTGGCCTCTGGTAGCACTGGATTCATGTACGCCAATGCACCCATAATTAAAAATGAAAATAAAATATTTTTAAGTACCTAGGAATAAACCTAACCAAGGAAGTAATGAAAACTACAAAACATATATGAAGGAAATTGAGGAATATACTAGAAGATTGAGGGACTTTCTGCATTCACAAATTGGCAGAATTAAAATTGTAAAAATGGTACTGTTACCGTAAGTGGCCTTCTGATTAAATGAAATTTTCAAAATTCAAATTACATTTTCACAGAACTAGAAATCAACCCCTCAAAAGTTCATATAGAAGTACAATAAATAAAAGAGTCAAAAGCAGTCCTGAATAAAGAGAACACCAGAGGATCATAAGAGCTCACAGGGAAACCATCTCAAAACAAAACAAAACAAAACAAAAAACAAAACAAAACAACAACAACAAAACAACCAACCAAACAAAAAACCCCAAAGATCTTAATGTTAAATCCAACTCCTTTGAACTACTAGAAGAAAGTATGGTAAATAATTTCTGATATAGGTGTCAGTAAAATATTTCTGAAAAGTACTCCAATATCTTGAAGAATAGAATTGGCCAATGACATCCTATCATGTAAGAAACAAAACAAAACTTGTGAACAGTAATGGAAAATACAGAGTAATATAATAGCTTAGAAAACGGGTAAAAAAGTCTCTGCTATCCATCTGAGATGAATACTATCCAGTGTGTATATAAAGAACTAAGAAAAAAAAGGAAAAAAGAAACAACAAAAGAAGTAATACAATCAATTAATGGACAAATAAATTGAGCAGATACTTTTAAAAGTATGAAGTAAAAATGACCAACCTGGTGTGGCAATTCATGACTGTAACTGCAGCACCTGGAAATCTGAGGCAGAAGATTGCCATCTGTTAGAAGCCAATATAGGCTACATAGTGAGTTCCAGGTTAGCTTGGGCTACAGTCCACATTCCAATATGTACATATTTTTCTGTTCACATGTATGTTAGTCATATATGTTAATTTTTTGAGACAGGATTTCTCTTTGTAGCCCTGGCCATCCAGGAATTCCTTCTGTAGTCCAAGCTTCCCTTAAACTAGAGATCCATTTCTCTCTGCCTCCACAATTCTGGGATTAAAGGCATGTGCTACCACCACTCGGCTTCACATACACACACTCTCACACATATACACACTCACACACAAAACAGTTAGATAATATATGGTAACAACTATAATTCTGATATGTAGCTATTGTATAGTGTTTCCTCCAAAACTGAACATTCCAGTCTGCAGGGCAGCCTTTAAGATAAAAGGTAAACAACTCAGTATAGCTACAAAGAAGATTCGAAAACAGGCCAAGCTGCAAAGAAGACTCAGAGACCAGACCTGATACCTGGAAGAAGCAAAAACTAGTTGAGTGTACTAGAAGAGGTTTAGACCCGCTGATGCACTTAGAAAGCACACTCTCCAACCTGTTGAGCTGCCTGCAGGTTGTGCGGTGTGCTCCAGGTCCCCAGCTTCGTGAGCTGTCACACATGTTGGTGTGGGTTTTGGTGATGCAGCTGTCTTTGAGTCAGTTCTGCTCCTGCAAGTAACACCTCACCCATATTCCTAAAAGCAACACTAATAAAACTCATTGGTTCACCAAGTTGGACTTTGGTGGTGTCTGTACTTGGTTTATCATGGGTTCCTACCCGGGGCAAGTACTTGTGTGTATAGCATCTTCCCAGGAAAAGTCTTATCATACAACAAAGTCGTTCCCCTGAGCTTTTTATTGTTATTTAATTTTTGTTAAATAAATAGCTGGGTAATTTTAGTCATTTCTACTCCTCCATTATAAAAAAGTAGTATATATGGCAGGTATCTCTACATGGCAGAGAAAATATTTAAAGACAGGATGGCTCAGAATTCTCCAAGTATACTGAAAATAACTCATCTATGGAAGGGAAGCCCAGTGATTTCCAAGTAGGATAAATACAGAATATCCACAGCCACATCACAGCAAAGGCAGTAAAAGTGTGTGTGTGCGGTGGTGGTGGGGGAGTGCTGGAGAGATAGCTCAGCAGTTAAGTCCACTGACTGCTCTGCCAGAGGTCCTGAGTTCAATTCCCAGCAACTACATGGTGGCTCACAACCATGCATAATGGGATCCAGTGCCCTCTTCTGATGTGTCTGAAGACAGCTACAGTGTACTTACATACATAAAATAAATAAATCTTTAAAAAAAAGTGTGTGTGTGTGTAAAACCTTGGAAAAGAGAAAAAATGACATACGAATTTAGGTAGAGATTAAATTTGATTGGATTAAAGTTAACAGAGGGGCCAGTATAAGGGCTCAGTAGGTAAAAAAGCCCCTACTGTCAAGCCTGCTGACACAGATTCAATTTCTGTGATACATGGGATAGGTCTAGGAATATTTATACACACATATGTAAATAAATGAATGTAATAAAGTTTTAAAGTGAGTAGAGAGCAAATTTAGTAAAACACTAAACCAGAAAATAGAGATTTAATTATACCAATTTAGTTTGAGGTGAAAATGTCAGTTCTCATTAGAAGCAAGGAGGGGGGGCTAAAATGCAGTGGGGGAACACAGTCAAAGTGCATAAAAAGAAATGAAAACTGTCAACTAACAGCTCTACATTCGACAAATCTGTCTTGCAAAAAAGTGAATATCCCTGAGATATCCCTGAGAAACAAAACAGAATTCACTGCAAGCCAACTTACCTGAAAACACTAATATAATATTAAAGGGAGCAAGGTAGTTCTTTAGTTTACAAGTGAGAGGCTCCAAGATAGTAACTTGAAGCCACATAAAAAATAGTACAAATAAAAGTAGCCATATAATTAGGAAAGACATTATAAATCAACGGCTCTGCTTCTTTTCTCTCAAAAGATTTAAGAAAACAAGCATGGTACCATGTAGAAGGCAACCTATTTGTCAATGACAGCATATCTGAGGAGGGTGAGAGAAAAATGTATACATGCCTAAGAAATGACTAGAGTTGCCTGCTCAAACCCATCTAAAGAAAAAAAACAGAAATGATAATGTTAAAAAACAAAAGCTGTAATGTATTTGTTTTCCTTTCAACTTTTAGTTTCTTTAAAATTCTTAAGACTATGTATAGTAATAATCATAGCAATGTATTATGGGGCTTATAACATGTTTGATATAACAATCTGATTATAATATCATAGGTAAAGAATATAGTCCTATATAGGACTAATGCTTCCTTATTTTAATGACATTAGTAGTATAACTCTGAACTGAAAAGTAAAGCAGAATAGTAAACTGTAATCATTTACTGAGGAATGCTACACTATAAATATTTACCTAACACAAAAGAAAGCAGTAAGAGAGAGGAGCGAAAGAATCATAAGACATCAAAGACTAAGTAAAATGGCGTATGTAATTCCAACCATATACTCCTAAGAAGACTAAGTACGAGTGGACCAAACAATTCAATGCAAAGCGAAGTTCTGACTGGAGATTTGTATTCCTATTTGTATGGCTTTCTTTCTCTCTCTCTTTCTCTCTCTCAATCTCTCTCTGTCTTTCTCTCTGTCTCTCTCTGTCTCTCTCTGTCTCTCTCTGTCTCTCTCTCTCTCTTCTCTCTCTCTCTCTCTCTCT